GACGAGGCATAGATGGGACAATTATAGATGATATTTGACAGTGATTAAAATCACTATCATAAGAAACGCTTCGATGCAAATCTGTAGATAGTGTTTCATTTAGAGAAATTGGTTGATTATTACAAAAGCAACATCAACTCTTGTTAATACCAGGATGAGAAATGATATCTCGATTACCTGATGATTAATAAGAAAGGTTCTTTGTATTTAAATTTATATAGAAAGAAGACTGTGATTGTTGGTTTACATAAAAATTAGTTTATACAAAACAATAAACAATTTCGTACAAAATGACAAATTTTATAATCAATCCATCCGTGTGGTATAACAATAATCAAAATAACAATAATGAATATAATATGTGCTAATAATTTACATAAATGTAACAGTAATTGACAAACTCACCAATCAAAATTTTGTATACAATTATTATACACCAATGTTCATAGGCAAATACTTAAATCTAATGATTTGCAATTGAACGTATTAAACATAATCCGTGCGATTTAAATAAAATAATAGAAAACGTCATCCGTGTGACTACAAAATAGAAAAATGTCATCCGTGTAACTTACAACAAAAAAAAAAAATGTCATCCGTGTGACTTACAACAAAAAATTCAACCACTGAAAAAACACAAAGAAAAAAGAACACGAACAAATGATACTAACACTTATTAATAACACATGTCGATCGGCCATGATAACCGGCCGACGACGGCCAGCGACCGGGAGAGGAAGGGAGGACGAGTGGACCGAACTGATTAGCGCGCTATCTTGTATTTTTAAACAGCGCGTACAACTCTTATTTCTTTAATTATATCCTGATTAGTAGTTCTTTGATTTAAAAATATAATATATAAATAAATACTAATTATAGTTTTTAAATTCAGTATGAAATTGTGAGGCCAGTTATGATGAATGGTTCATAGTGTTGGGCGGTTGATAAGAAAGTAGAGCAGAGATGAGAATGCTTAGTTGGATGAGTGGAGTGACTAGAGAAGATAGGATAAGGAACGAGCATATAAGAGGAAGTAAAGGTGTTGAGTCAATCGTGGATAAGATGACAGAAAATATACTTAGATTGTTTAGTCATGCTATGAGGAGAGAGGAATCGGAAGCTCAAAGAATTGTTATAGAAATGAATGTTGAAGGAAGAAGCAGTAGAGGAAGACCAAAAAAGTGATGGAAGGATGTTATTGAATGTGATATGAGGACAGCTGATGTGAGCGTAGAAGATGTGGGGGAGATCGTGTCAAGTAGAATTTTAGGACGAAGGTGGCCGACACCAAGTAGTTGGGATTAAGGCAAAGAAAAGGAAAAGATTACCAGAAATTCCGGTGGCAATTGACATAATATGATTGTTGTTTCGGAATGTACAATTTAGCGTTTAGTTGGGTTTAAATAATATAGCGTCAAATCAATTACCTACTCTATCGCTTGTATATTAATATACACTACACTTTAATGATACAATAAATAAATAAACTCACACATACACACATATGCATTTATAACATTGTGTCTAACGTAAGTGTAACATGATAAAAAGTAACCGTAAAATGAAAAAAATGAAAAATAAATTTTAGTACTCATATTAAATGTAATGTAACTCGAAAAATATTTGTTTAAATGAAAAAATATAAGATAATTTTTTTGTTTAGAATTGTTGTTTAAACATCTTTTGTACGAAACTTTTTTTTGTAAATTAAATATTTTTTGAGAAAATTAAAAAAGCTCATATTTTTGAACTTTTGCGAGGCTGTAAAAAAAAAGCTCAATTCCAATCAATGAGGACTATGTATGTCATTATACATATTTTAATTCAACTTTTAGATAAACAAAAATTGGTTGGGAATTTTTTCCGCAATTTTTCCTTTGTTTCCTGGCCTAGATGTCAATTTTAAACTTGTAATTGAGCTAAAAGTTATTGTAATATACTCAATTTTTTTTTATATAAACTTTCACACATCTCTATCAAAAATTTTTCAACAACACTAAAGAACCAAAAAAATAGGTTAAAAATGAAAATTTGGACTGATTATTTTTAACATATTAAAAATCAAATCAGTAATAATTTGAAAACAAATTTTTTTTTCTTTTAATTATTATTTTATATATATAATTAGTAATAATATAAAAAATTAGAAGTGATAGAAATAGTCTACTTGCAGATTTGAAAACAACGCGAAAATTTGATTTAGAAAAGTATATTTTTGCTTCTGATGAAAGTTCCTTGTAGTCCAGTGCATTTTTTTATAGTAACAAACAGTTTTTATTGAAAATTATTGTATCAAGCCCTTTAAATTTTTATACACGTAAAAGTAAAGCAAAATATAACTTCTTTATTATTTTTATAATTTCTCCGTTTAAATTACATTATTAAATTATTGAATATCAATTTCATACTAAATTTAATAATTATAATTAGTATATATTCATATATTATATTTTAAAATCAAAGAACTACTAATCAGAATATAATTTAAAAAATAAGAGTTGATGTTGCTTTTGGAATAATCCACCAATTTCCTACTTAAATAATAATAAAATAATAAATACATTAAATGTAATGTAACTGGAAAAATATTTGTTTAAATGAAAAAATATGCAGTACCTATTTTGGTTAAAATTGTCTTTTAAACAACTTTTGTACGAACCTTTTTTTTGTAAGTTAAATATTTTTTAAGAAAATTAAAAAAGTTCATATTTTTTAACTTTTGCGAGGCTGTAAAAAAAAAGTTCAATTCCAATTAATGAGGACTATTAGTATGTCATTATACATATCTTAATTCAACTTTAAAAAAAAAAAATTTTGGTTAGGAATTTTTTCTTTAGTTGACTGGCCTACATGTCAATTTTAAATTTTCAACACTAAAGAACCAAAAAAATAGGTTAAAAATGAAAATTTGGACTGATTATTTTTAACATATTAAAAATCAAATCAGTAATAATTTGAAAACAAATTTTTTTTTCTTTTAATTATTATTTTATATATAATTAGTAATAATATTAAAAAGTTGAAATGTTTAAATATTAAGCACGAGGGTCTGTAAGAAAGATAAAAGATGATAGAAAAATAAAGTGATCTTTATTTTATTAATATGGAATTCATTATGAATAATTGTCAATTTTTAAATATCAATAACGCCACGAGTTTTGACGGTTATCGATGATAAGTGGGATTGAGTCACCTCGTGTGTCTACCCAGAGTGGTATGGTGGCTATACATATGAACCTCCAACCTAACTCCTGAAATAGACACGTATCAACGATATAACTATGCTAAGTAACTCTGTACAAACATTGTCGATTTATTAAATTTACTTGGTATATTTATTATTATTGATAATCACTTGATTTTCCTGTATGCCTACTTAATCTATGTACTCATAAAATTTAATTCTAAACCTTATTTATTTTTGATGACTTTATTAGATTCCTACATTGATATTTTCTGCGATACTCTTAAATAAATAGATGTATTTTTTTGAACAATATAATTGTGTTGACGGCGGATCACTTCTTGCATATATTTTGTTGTGTGGAATAATCCAGTGTAGTGAGTGCCTCTGTGGATATCTGACTGTATCTGTCTCTTAATGCTCTTTATTTTTGGCTTTTTATATTAAATTTAATCGTGGTTCAAAGGCAAGAAGTGATCCCCGACGCCACCGTTATTTCTTTATTAATCGTAATTTATTACATGTTATTTATTACATTTTCATCAATAATGATCTAATGTGTATACAAATAATTTATTATGACATTAATGATGTACTGTTTATATTACAAATAATTCATTATGATATTAATGATGTACTATGTATATGTACATTACATCATTAAATAGAAAATTTTATGAGAAATAAAAAAATTTTATCGTTAAGATTAATATGCAGTCAGAAAGTTTTATAATTACTATTTTTTGTAAATTTATCACATAAGCTCAATATTT